TATTTAGGGTCTATATGTGTTGACTTTACTTTAAAATAGCAGATCTCTGTGACCGGATATAGTTTGGCTTAGACGAGGACGCATACGGTAAAACGCATACGCAAACGCAAAAAAGTCTTCCGTTCACACGCATTTGATTCATTAATGTGTCCGTTCACACTAGACCGCTGGAAATGCTGGAAACGCTGTAGTACATATGCCAGGCCTGTAAGTGGCGCTGCTGCCGCCACAAAATACACCAAAAGCAGCGAAGAAGACTCCGGAGCATGGTTGCCATGGTTGCCCTTCTGTTTATTCTCCGCGGTGGACGACGTGTTCTCCTGCTGTATATCTCTCAGGTAGTCCACCAGCAGATGAAAAACACCCACCTCTCCGCCTCTTCCAAGGGACGAGGGAACCGTGCGGCAGAGTTTCCGTTAAAAAATTTTTTTTTCCGCCGGTCAACATGTCCGTTAAAGTTTAAATCTTCCGTACAAAATTAGAAAAGTGTCGATCAGAGGTCTTCTTTGTTATTTATTGAGCTTTAAAACAAATTGATGACGACTCTGTTCTCTGTATAATAATATAATAATATTTAATAAACGGTGACTGCCTCTCTTTTCCTCCCCCTCTTCTGACAGCCTAGCAGCAGCAGGAGACGTGGGGAGAGGGAGGCGGGCTATTTCATCGTTATCATATAGGGCTTACACACAGAGCCGTTGGACCCCCAGAGCGTTGTGTATGTCGGTCTACCCACCTTGGGATCCCCCCCTCCCACACAGAGCGGAGCAAGGCAACGAAACTTAAAATAAGAAGAAGCATTTTACAGCGCGCTATGCATGGGGCCGCCTTGGGGGGTTTCCCGACATGTCGTTTCAGTAAATTAAAGGGTGTTTCATGTTGTCGTCGCTGTGGGACTTCTTAATACCTTGGAAAATGCCGTTTAATACTTTTTAATAGCCTTAATTTTCGCTAAATTGATTTATCAACTTTTAATACTTTTTAAGACCCCGTGGACACCCTGCTAGAAGTTCAATATGTTTTGATTGACAGTCCATGTGTCCTCAACTTTTTCTAAGTAACTTCTGTGAATGAGTTTCTCTTGAACTGAGGGATCTTAAAAAGGAGGTCAGGAAATGTAATATACAATTAGGAGCATTTTCTAATGCATCTTATTTCGTGATGGAAAAAAGTGAAAACTCTTTCTGCTTTCATGACGACACCACCCTGATCGTATCTGACTGTACCTCTAGGTCGTTGAAGAAGAGGTGGGTGTCTGCCAGCTCGAAGATCAGCTCCTCCATCTGCAGGCCCAGGTTCAGCACTGTGGCTGGTTCCTGAACACACAGTACACACACAATCAATATTTCACACCTTTTATTTGTATTTTGTATGATTGAGTTTATTGACTGAAACAAACCTTGCCAAACTTCTGTGCGTAGGATCCGGTGAGCAGTGAGTGGAATATAATAATGGTCTCATCCAGATCCCAGAGAAAAATGCGCTAAAAAGAGCAAAGAAAGATCATTATAATAGTATCATTAAACTTAGCATTTTGGCAATCATGATATCAGTTTTTCACAAAATGATTATCGTGGCCAAAACATTTGGGAAAACATGGGGATGATCGCAATATCTATAGAATATTTGATAAGATCAAATATAGTTAGAATATTGCTACACAGTGAGAATATTGTGCATGTTGGCTCTTTTTTGTTTAACATGAATGAATTATTAATAATAATAATCTACAGACTTAAAAAAACTAAACTTAAATAAAATAAATAAAGCACACCATTACAATTTAATATAATCGCAAATCATAATCGATATTGCAGATTCAGTCAAAACATATGCTAATAAGGTTTTCAAAGTCGTGCAGCCCTAGTATTAATAATAAGATATCATTATTATTATTATTATGTGAAGGCCGTGATACAAGTACACCGCTACTTTCTTTGAGAAAATGTTGTCTATCCATACCACGTTTTAATTTGACAGAAGAAAAGATTTACTACTAAATCATATTAATATTTTTCATGTGTCTGTTGCATCGCGTGATTTGTTGGTTGTGGCTAAACTGTTAATGCCGCTAGGCTAGAGACCAGGGGAATAACCCCCCAATGTTTATGTGTGTAAACACCTGTGTTACCTCCAGGTCGGTGTCAGCAGGCGGGGAGCTGTCGGGCCTCTTGCCTTTCCCTTTGGATTTGCCTACTGAGTTCCTGCGTCCAACCTCGTCCTGGTCCCTGGCTCCGGGGGGGAGGGCCACATTGGTGGGGAGGGCTGCCCCAGCTGGGAGGTTCTCTGGAGGGGACGCATCTTAATACAGGAAAGTCTGAAGTTAGTCGGAATAACAAACAAGGCTGGTAAAGTGGGAAAGAACTAGGATGTATTATCAGCAGAAAATGCTGAATAGACCAAAGACTGCACAACTTGTGTCTGGTCCCATGCATGCCTTTTTATTTTATTTAACTAATTAATATAACTGCCCTCAGGAAGATGCATATGCAGCAACCAACATTATTTAACTTGAAGTATTTCAGATGCAGTTCCCTTGCTAAATTCGTGCACACAGAAACATTGTGCACACAGGAAATATGTCATTTGTGTATTATGATTAACTTTGACGTGTTTTAATCAACATCTGAAGTCAAAGAGAAATGAAGATTTCAAGTCTCTGCTGGGTTATATTGCACTTATTCAGAGATGTTTTTCAGCACCTTGTTGAGTGTGTGCCACGAAGAATTAAGGTGGTTCTAAAGGCAAAAGGGGGTACTGGTAGGCTTTACCTAATAAAGTGGCCGGTGAGTGTACACACTGGTGTATTAATAATATGAATGCTGAACTTCACAGTTTAAGAGGGCTAATGCTGAAATAGTTACAGTCCCAGACTATTTAACTCCTCCCTCAGAGCGTTAGGCACTCTGAGGGAGGAGTTAAATAGTCTGAATCATTTCCTGTGTCACTCTTTAGTGAATGTGGAATGAGTCTTTCAATGTAGGGACTCCTGTGCCGGAACAGCATGCCATGGAGTGGGTGGAAGACATTGTCCAAGGTAACAATATGACTATAATGAATATTGATTTTTACAACAGGATGTTTCTTCACAATCTATGGTTATATCATAATATTATAAATAACAGTTATTAGGTTACCTCTGGGAGGTAAACCTGCAGAGGCGGCTTGCTCTGACTTTATCGCTGAATATCCGGCCGCTCCCAAAGCGGCCCCAGGGTCCTCGCTGCTGGGCAGCCCGGCGGGGGTGTAGCTGGGAGGCAGAGCATAGTACTGCGAGAACTGACTCTGTCCCAGAGAGGTGTAGCTGCTGAACTCCTGCACCACAATATAACAAGCAAACGTGATCAACAGGAGACACAAACAATTCTCCTATTATTTACCATAACAGTAATGTATTCAGGTTCTGTGGCAACAAGAGAGACTTCCACAATTTTTGTTTTGTAAACTCAAAAATACAAATAGCAAAAATAAATCTGATTGGCAAAGATACAAACAAATGACACACTTTCCGATGAGAAGAGCCCCCCCTCCCACAGTGCAGGGTTTGGTCTCACTGCGACACAAATACAAACTGCATTCAGAAATGCCTGATTGAAAGTTCTAACAAAATGCTTTTCAAATGCTTTTAATGAACTTAATCAATCAAATGTATTCAAATGTTTTATTTGTGGAATTTGTTTTTGTATCACTGGTAGTGTGTGTATCCAACATCATGCGTGGTGGTGTGGCTCATTCATATCTGGTAAATATGAAAATAAATGGAAATGGGAGTCCGAGCTGCGGTGTGTGTTTTCTCTACTCACACTAACAGCAGGCTCACATGTCTTTAGTATATAAATAATTAGGGCTGTCAGTCGATTAAAATATGACTAATCGCATGATGTCCATAGTTAATCGTGATTAATCGCACATTTTTGTATCTGTTCTAAATGTACCTTAGAGGAATATTTTTCAAGTTTTTAATACTCTTATCAACATATGAGTGGACTAATACGCTTTATGCAAATGTTTGTTTATGATCATTGGAACAATGATAAATATTCTCCTGAATATTCTCAACACAACAACCTGGAACCTCTCTTTCTTCTTCGCTC